CTATTTAATATCTTTTTGTAAGGGTGGAGGTTGGGAGTTTACTTAGTAGAAATATTTGGATGGCTTTATTTCAATTCATTTCTACTTTAAGAAATGTAAGAATAACTGCCTTCTCACAACTGGCTATAGACAGTGAAAGGCAGTAGAAGCTGAGACGTTGTGGATGTAAGCACTCAGCTTCGTACCTTTATTTGATTTTTTATCATTTTCCATGACGGCTGACTAGATTGACATCGGTGTTTGGAGATTGTCTGATAGATGGGATATCCCAAATGCATTTGGGTGCTATTACCACAGACATTATCCATTATGACAATAAGTTGACAACCTGGATCGATAACAGTATTGCAATATATATGTATGTATGTAGAATTCCAAGAATTGTAATAGATAAATATATCAAAATGTAAGACACAATATCAGAAGGTAACTTTTCGAAATGCTGTGTGCTGCAGAGTCTGAGCTATTATTTATATGGTTGTTAAATACATAGTTATTCCTTTAGTAAATTATGAAGTGTTGACTACAAAACTCCTATTCAAACATGTATGATCAATAACTCAAATAAAAAAAATATCAGTAAGAACTTTTGAATGAAAATAAAGAACTGTGTACGATAATACATCAGTTACACTGTGTCTGTTATATCTGGTGCAGATCAGGCCTTTTGGCCAACATTAGAGGTCTTCAGACCTAATATTGGAGTAGTTGAGATGTTAAATATATTAGCAAATTGCTTGACAACATTTCAGCATCTTGCCTTCTTTGGAGCCTTGCAGCATACACAGGAAGATAATATAATTGAAATACTTTCTTTTCTATTTATTCAAACATATTTTAGATTTATTTATATTCTTCATCAGTTATGCTACAAACTTCTAAAGAAGGCCAGAAACTAAAACTTTGAGCATAAAATACAGTATTTTTTTTCCTGGAGTTATAAGTCATATTTTGGTTGGATAAACAGTTATAAATTTCTGTCATAATTTATACAAAGCATTTTTTGTTTCAGGAATACAATAAAATGAAAACAGAATCACACAATTTGTATTTTTTCTACATACATTGTAGTTATGTATATCAGACACCCCTGTAGTAGTTATGAACTAAAACCCTGCATTTTGTAAGCAGGTTGTCAAACAAATTTGTATTTAATTATCTACCAAGTGTAAATGCACTAATGTCCAAATTTCAAACATAGTCAAAAAGTAACTAGTTTCCTGACTTACAAGGTTTATTTCTAGAAGCAAAATTTAATCATGACTTGTAGAATCAGCCATAATCATCCTCACCCCTGGAGGTGAGGCAAAGGTATTGCATTTGGTTACGTCTGTATGTCTGTCCATGCAAGTATCTTGAAAAAAAAATACAGATTTACATGAAATTTTTACAGAATAGGATGGTCTTTCCAAAATCTATTCTGGATCCAGATCCGGATTCTGGATCACTTTGAAAGATTTTTATAATATGAGATGTAGGGCATTTTCTCAGATTGTTAATAATAACTGTGTAAAAAGTGATTAGGTTAGGACCGAATTTCAGGCACACACCGAATCCAAAGATTTATGGTGGGGCAAGGGTATGCAATCTCTCTGATTGCTCTTGTTTTAAGTTTTTTTTGTTTGTTTACATTAAAAAATTATATATTACCTTAATTGACAGTTGACTTTTCTTCGATCCTTCATGGATCAGATTGCCTAGTTAACTAATGTTCCTGATAATGTAAATGAATAGTTTTGTATAAGTGATAATTAAAATTTTACTTATTATTAGCTTGGTGCTTAGATTTTTAAAGTCAAGAAGTAGTGACAAAGAGATGTCTTCTGGGATGAACATATAAATCTTCAGTTTTACTCAGTTTAATAATATTGGTAATGCAAATGAAAAGATAATTGGAAATGTATGGTTTCATTTTGTTTAGACAAAAATTGTCAACTGCTCATGTAGTCCAGAAGGTAAAGTTTCTTTTAAAATATCTTACTTTGAAAAATTAAAACTTTTCCTATAAGTGAAGAGTTTAGGTCATTACAGTTATTGTTTAAAAATGTTTTCATGCATTCATGTTTACCATAACTGTAATACTTAGATAAAACAGCTCTCAAAGGAAATAAACTGCTAGTTTGATATAGTACAGAGGTATTGTAGAATGTGTACTGTAAAATGTGAAAAGAAAGTTATCTTTTCTGAAATTTTCAATATAAATTGTCACCCCCAAATTATTTTTGTGTGTAAGTTACTCAGGTTTTTTCAACATTGGTTAATCCATTTTCACAGCCATTGGTTAAATTCAAGAGTTATCTCTACTACCAGGAAAAAGATGATATTCAAAAAGGAATCAAGAGTTTGAAACCACTTCCAGGAAGTATGGTAATTTAAACTATTTAAATATTAAACAACTTTGCATTGTTGGTATAGGAGGATTGCTTTACAAAATACACACATAGTTTATTATAGTATTATATTGGATTTTAAACTACCCATAGTTAGAAATAATAAGAAATCCTATGCAACATTACTATGTATATGTGTTCTCTGAAATTTAATATGATTAAAAAAATATACATCAAAAACCTATAGATCTCCTTTATGACAGATAATTGATCGTACAAAGAAATATATATATATATATAGTTGCTAGTGGTAATTCTAAAATAAGCTGTTGCTTACCATACCCACATACTCTTAATTTGAACATTTTGTATACAGAAACTACTAATTTAGAAACTTTTCTGATAGGATTAATATTTGAATCCTGTGATTTTGTAGCACTTTATACTATTCAGTGCATTTTTTATTTTATTTTTCAAAACAATATTACGTTTGATGATTGTAAAAAGCACTTAAGCTTAAAAGTTACTTGAAAATGTATATTATAATTTTTTTAAATATTGTGCTTAAACAGTATTACTTATCATTTTATAAATTCATAATTAGATATTGCTCATTGTTGTTGTAAAACATAGCTTATTTTTTTGTAGATAACTTATTATAAAAATGGACAAAACATGGGTGTTGCATGGAATGACATAAATGAAGGAACATACTATCCAGCAGTTTCTCTCTACAAAAGCTGTACAGTAAGTATTTGTGTGTACTTGTATTGATAGCATAAGGAATAAAATCTTTTAATTTTTATTTTCAGAATTACATTATGACTGCTGTTATTAAATATTTAGTTGAATATAGAATTCCAATGGGATATCTTACCTCTTCTGACAAATAGCTTTTCACGACTTATATTGCCCTCTATAAGCACAAATATTTGCTTGCCACTAGCCTTGATAGTTCCACCTATCCTCACGTGTATTGATGTGAGACATCTCATGCTCTCATACAAATCATCATGCAGCAACCCTCCACCAAACCAATAGGAATGTGACACAACTTCTATCATTACTAGTGCTCTCTCTTCCATTTAGCCCTTAATCACTTCTCAATTTGCAGTCTTACTGTTAAGACACATTTTTGCTCTTGTTTTACTGATTTTTTTGCTTATTTGCTCAAGTTACAGTTTGAATTTTCAACTGCATAATTTTTTTTCCCTTGGCCTTAATTTTTTCGAATTTTTTACAGTTTTGAGAATGGTCATGAGTTTGAGGCTGGCCCATTATACTGTTATGTCTTTGAGTAAGAAACTATTCCATGTGCTCAGGGTTGAGCTGTGATAGACTGGCATTCTGTCCAGAGGAAATGGGTCATCATCTAGAGTTCAACAGCACTGGCACTATGTCCTTTTATGGTCACCCTGTAGGACTGCAGTATGTTTACGGACACACAATGCTTGAATCCAGGGTTTGATTCCTTGTGGTGGACACAACAGATTGTCTAATGTGACTTTTCTCTGAAACAAATAAAAGTATTTTGAACAAGTATTCGATTGAGATTAGGAATAAACCAAACAGCCTGATTTTAGAAATTGAGGCCTGGTGCTCTATCATGGATGTGTCGGCTCTCAACTATTTCTTGGTCTTATCACGCTTCACCATGGACTCAAACTTAGCCCTTTGTTGGGTTTTCCTCCTGGTTTGTGAATGACAAAGGTTGATGTGTTGGATGCATACCTAAACATTCACATTTCCCCTGCATCCCAACATTATTTTTGTTTTGTTCAGTGGGGTGTGTGTTTCAGTTCAGACTCTTCCAATCGAACTCACCTCGGCTCCCTATATTTTTTATCGGGTGGTCTGGGCATGTGCCTTTCCTTTTCATTTCCGAGACCCTCATTTCCTCCATTATATGGATGACTGGCTTCTTCTGGCTTCCTCACATGTTGTCTCTACCTTTCATTTTCAGTTTCTCCTAAGAGTTGGTTGGTTGGTGCAGGTGTTTTTACTCACTCCCATGCAATATCTAGTTCATCTTGGGGTGTTGCTTAATTCCCTTCACAGTTGGGCTGGACCCAAACTTTTCCCCTTCAGTTGAGGGCTATGAAGCTACTATTTAGCAGCTCTCCTTCTCCTATGATGAAATAGTTCCCTCTCTCTCTTTTGGGAATGTGGGCTTCTGTGGAAGCCATTATCTCTCTTAGTCATGACCACATATCGCCTTTAGTGGGTTTTGTGTGTTAAAAGGAGCTTTGTTTGGGTTCTCTTGGATGCCCCTCTCATTCTTCCTTTTTTCTTACTGGACAACACCCCTGTTGCTGTTCCTCCTCCTCGACCGGAAGTTGTCTTTTACAGATGCTTCCTTTTCCAGTTGGGGTGCTTATTTGGTTGCTCAGGAGGTTTTGGAACAGTGGAGTCTCTCAAAGTCCTCTCTCCTTTACAATCTCTCAGAGCTTCTTGTAGTTCGTTGGGCTTTGGTGCACTTCCTTCCAGCCCTTCAGAGCAAATTGGTGATGGTGCTTTCTGACAACTCGACTATAATTTCGTACATCTTCGGGCAACAGGGCATTAAGTCAAGAGATCTCTATTTTTGGCCACTGTTTCTCCTGTATTAAGCCACAGCCATCAGATTCTTGTGTTGACTTGTCACACTCCGGGCACCCTGTTTATCATGTCCCGACATGATTCTAGCTATGGAGTGGTCACTGGGCCCATGAATGTTGTGGAAGCTCTATGCCCAGTGGGGTGTTTCACTTCTGGTTGCCTTTGCCAATCATTAGCTCCCCTTGTTTTGATCTTCTGTAACACATGCTTTGACTTGAGCATTGGTTGCTGTCACTCAGGATTAGATGGGTCTATACCTATATGCCTACTTTCCCATTCACCTGCTTCCCCAGGTCATTTCCATCATGCAGACCATTCTGAGTCGGGTTCTGTAGATGGTTCCACTTTGGCCAGCTCTGCTGTAGTTTCCTCTTCTGTGCCAACTACTGGGGTCACCTCCTCATCCTCTCCCTGTTCCCCCCACCCTCCAACGTTTGCTCCAGTCTGGTATGTGTCATCAGTCTGTTCCCACTCTCCATCTTCATGCGTGGCTTTTATCTGGTTCCTGGCCTGGCAGGCCGGTTCTTTGCAGCTCGTGGCATCCTTGTTTTCCCATTACGTTCATCTTTCTGACATGGGACATGCACCAAATGATCATTTCAAATTTTTTATGTATTTCTTTTCCCAGATTGTCATTTCTATCTAAAACTTTGGTTGCTCAGGAGGGTAATTCTACCTTCACACCCATCTCTTTTCTTTCTTTATCACACATTTATGGCCATTTCGTCCTGAATGCCTCCTCTGTCCAGTTGGGGCTCTTCATTGCTATGGGGCATGCACTGTTTCCTTCTGTGTTTCCCACTTCTATTGTTTATTCCATGTAATCCTTCTTAGTCCTGTGACCTTTCCTCAATTTCCTATAGGGATTGGTGTGAAGTGAAGTTTGTGAAAATAAAAGTGAAATTAGTCTGCGTAATTGTCAGTTTAGTCATAAAGGGCAATTTCTGAAGTGAAAGTTTCAGTGTTTTTATTGTACAAGAGATAGAAAAGAATAATTAATTTTGGGATAAATTTCCACAATAAATGAACAGCATAATCCACTTGTTTAAAATAATATATATATTCAAAACAAGTCAAATGTATGTACAAAAATTTGTTACACTATTATTTACCACAGTTGAATCTAGAAATATAAATAATTCTCTTTTACATCAAAAGTCCACACAGGCTGGTTCAATTACTTTAGAACTAAATTGACCAACAATTCACAGACACCTACTGTAAAGAATCTAGCCCCATATAAAAACTTGAAAGTTGGATTAGCCTGGCTTATTCTTCCCTTTTTCTGAATGATTGTTGTCTTTTCTGTGTTTCTTCCCATCAGTTTTGTCACCTTACCACATCCCTGGCTGCTTATTTCTGTCATCCTTTGGAGGACATCATACCATTACTGCTTATTATCTTCACAATATAGCCATTGCTTGTTCTGTGGGATTTCGTCTTCCTCCCCTCAACATTTTGCAGGAATGCTTTGCATTGTTTTGCTTCATAACATGTTTGTCCCGGACCATACACTCATGGACTAACACGAGTAAAGCAGACAGGGTATTGTGGGTCTCCAGATCGGTCTGCTTTTCAAAATAGGTATCTTGGTCACCCATTTACTGTCTCCAGTGCTGCTTTCCTCCAGATTCTCCAATGTGCTATTCCCCCTCCCCTTTCCTCTAGGGAGTCCTTACCACTTACCAGTTCCTAACTGCTGGGATGGTGCTCTATCCCACTTAGTTGAGAGTAGGGTGGTGGAATTCTGCTGGCATGTAGAAGGCATTGATGGTCATTCTACTGTGGACCTGATGTGCTGCCTGGTGATGGACGATGCACTCTCTGCCAACATGCAGTTTGTCCCTCCAGCTGAGGCACCCTCCTTCTTACCGTCCCCATGATGCTGGTTCCCGGCAGACATGTTGATGATTTGAACTGGACCAGTCATGTAAGTCCTTGCATGTGTGTGGCTGGGTACTCTTCTTCTATTGCATACTGGATGATATATTCCCAGTGCTGCCTGATGATGGACTGGAGATGCACCCCCACTTTGTTGTGGCTACTCCTACCATCCCCCAGATGTTGGTTCCCGAAGGATAGGGTGATGGTTTTGTTGGATGTTACACATGCTGAGATGGGTCCTTGGTACAGAGGCTTCTTTTCTTTGCCAGTACCTATACCCGAGGTGAAAGGTAGAAGTACCTCTTCCTACCTTGAGCTGGACTTTCCTGTCACAGTTCGCCTGGTCTTGGTTGAGGTAAACCTCCCATTTACCGATGTGCTATAGTAGCTCTACACTGATGGTCCCTTAATTTCACACAGGTGTGTGGCTGAGTACCCTTCTCCTACTGCAGACTGTACGATACATTCCCAATACTATTTGGTTATGGTCTGGAGATGCACCCCCACTTTGCTGTCCACCTTCTTAGCATCCCCTGGATGTCAGTTCCCGGCAGATATGGTGCTGGTTGTGTTAGTTGTGCATGAATGACAATGCAGAGGAAGTCCCTCCTTTGTTTCTGCTGTTATTGCAACACATTTTCACATGGGCAAAGAGTATACCTAACTCATAAATGGTATGGCCTCCCACGGGGGTGTTGTCTTCCATTTATTTGCATACCACATGTTCTTCCTAAAGGGGTATCATCTTCTTTTGTTTATATGTATGAGGGAGAAGAAGGGGGTTGAGTTGGAGGCTGACCAGTGGCAAATGGTCTTTTCAAATCAGGTACAACTTTGCTCAATAGATAGGTGCCATATTAGAACTTTCACGTGTTGTTATCTCATTATTTTCAGGAAAAAAATACTGCTGAAAGTAGTCAGTGGTGAAAATGCGCACAAGGTGAGAGATTTACAGTCTTTGACACAGTAGTAATGCTTCAACTAAATAATGATAGTGGAAAGGTGGAAAATGTGGCATACGAACTCTGCAACTTTTTCTCAAAGGTGAACATACCTGTGGTTGACATTTGTAGATTTTGTGGCAATCAAAGTGTAACATATGCAGAGAGAAAGAGAATGAGAAGTGTTTTGAAGAGCCATGCCACTACTAGGAAACATGTTGAAAATGTGCAGGCAGTGCAAATATAAAACATAGACAATATATATAGAATGAGTCAAAAGTCCTGATTTGTCCTACTGTTATGAAGTAGATGTGAAATATCTAAACTTTGCTGACATGGATGTTGAGGGCTATTTATTACCCTACATGATGTCATAATTTATAGGTCATCCATGTGGTATCTTTGAAACTATCAGTTTGATGTAAAATGTATCAATACAAAAGTTGTAAAGCAGAATGATATTACTCCATAAATGTTGCTTGCTTATTGAAAATTTTTCCCCTGAGTTAATCAGGAAATAATAACAAAGATACAGTAAACATGTCTGCAAAATCATTTTAACTTACAAAAAAAAACTATGTGCAGACCTACTGTAGAAATACATACTTGTGCATGATGTTTTATGGACATGTATTGAATCTTTGCAAAGAATTCCCCAGGAATTTCTACATTTGCCACACAAATTCATTCTTATGAGTTTGGGTTTAGAATACACTCATTCTTTGATGTAACTGCACATGAATAAAGTTATTGTGTTGGGTCTAGAGATTGTGATCAGCCCTTCCAATTTATTGTCCTGGAAAAACTCATTTAGCATGTTGTATACATGGGCAGCAAAATAGAGTGGTGTACCATATAGCTAAAACCAAATCCTCTAGTAAGAGGCTATCACTAAATCATCAGTAAATTCATTCACAACACCTTGCAAAATCAGCTGCACAAAATGATCTCCTGTTAATGCCCTGTCCTAGAACACTCACTGGTCCAATTGTGGTTACAGTAGATACCACATCACACACTTGTATGCCATTGTAATTGATGGTATTGCTGCAGCTAGTGTGGACTGTCAGTTGCCCAACAGTGTGCATTATGGATTTTGACCACACGATCATGCAATAATAGACCATAAAATGCATAATATAAACTGTGGATCGACGTCAAACGTTGTGAAGAACCAATTACAACAGTCCAAATGTATCTTCTTAGTCTTACTGTTCAATACTTTGTTGGCAGTGATTATGATAAGGATGAAATTTATGATGTAGTCAATGTACCACTTATCTCTGGCTAAGGACACTTTCTGAGGCAACAGCTTTTGTGGTTGTGTGGGAGCTTAAAATAACAAGCAATTGCTGCTGTGGCATTGTTATTTTGTGTATCTGCTTGTTGCTGATGTGACCTCTGCCATGACTTGTTAGGGCCTGTTTCTTGAAGACTTAAAAAATGTAAGTTTTAAAAGCATAAAATTGTAGATGTGTTGGTGTGACACTACCCAAGAAATCTTGCTGCATACCTTCTTGCAGCTACTATAGCATTCCAATTCATCATAGAGTTACCCATTCAGTTACACTCAGCATTAGTGTATTGAACAATATTTTGTAGATCATTACTTTTCTTTGGGTTAGGAATATTTTATGCCACTTTATGCAGGAAGGCCAAGGTTTGTATAGAAATGTGAAGTTCCAGAAGCAGGAAAGAGAAGTTGGTAGATGTTGATTTGCATAATTTTATAATTCACTCTGTATTAACACTATGGACATTGGAGGGTGAAAATGTGTATACCACAATCAATGTATATTAATAAACTTGACATCAAAATGTAGTTTGTAATTCAAATGTTCATATTATCCAATTTTAATTTCAAAAGGAAGTATTTAAATAGATTGTCAATCGGCACCTCTAAGTCACATAACATGGTGGTACTCTGGCTTCTCATTTATAGATGTTTCTTTTCACTTATTAGGGTGTCAAATTGTTCAAAGAATTAGAAACACATACTGTAGACACTGACAAGCCAGAATATAGTATTTCAACCTTTTTTTGCTTTACTGGGATATCACTATATTTGTTCAAATTGTGACATGCCCTTTCCATATCCTTTGTCTTTTAACAAGAGTATATAATTCTCTCTGACATTATATAATATAATTGTGAACATTATCTAAATAGTTAATATTTAAATCAAGAAGGAAGGCCTTTGTTACCAACAGCAAAACCAAATCTGTGGTGAAATAAAACACTCATAATACAAAACAAGCCTTAAACAAAAATGATGCACATTAAGTCACCATGGCATATGCTATAAGATGTATCCTGGTTTTGGAGATGACTGCAGAACTTGGACCCACATAGCAGTGGAAATACATTTGCGAAGCCTAACATGTAAAAAAATAAATAAATAAGAGAGTAAAATAAGAAGAAAAAAAAAATAGTAAAGAGCAAGATGTGGGTGCTCGAGCCCATAATGTCCCACATCTATATCACTCTTCACTGCCTGCAGACAGTTATGGGAAGGTGACTGCTCTCCAAAGAAAAGTTAAAAATAAATGAAAAAAAGAGAAAGAAAAATTCCTTCCACTGGGGTGGTGAGTAAGAAAATCTTACTTTCTGAAGTTGGCATTATAGCCCCCAGTGTGGTAGTAAGAGCTCAAATAATAAGGTAATATTAATAGCAAGGTGTATTTCTGCTGTGCTACTAATATTACCTTACTAATTTGAACTTTATATGGTAGTTACTAGATTGTTAAATTGATCAAGCTCATCTTTATAGGGTTAAAGTGAAATATGTTTGGTTTGAAAAATTATGAAAACTTCTGGAAAAACCCTTAAGAAAAACATTATTTTTGGGGTAAAATCATTGTGTGCTGCAATTTTTGTATTGACACATCTTACTTCAGATTGATAGCATTTGACTGACCTTTACTATCATGACATGTCAGGTAAGAAATCGCCCGCAATATGCCTAAACACCTTGAGTCAGCAATTTTTCAATATTTCACACCTACTTTACAACAGTATGGGAAAAATCAGGACTTTTGGTTCACCCAGTAAAAGCAATGATGTTAATATTAATTCTGCATCAATATCTAAATATTCAGTTAAGTGCTATAGGTTTCCTTAAATAACAACCTATTTTGTGCCATACTTATCCTCTTACTCCAGACTATGGCACCGCTTGTAGATTTGGCTATGCTTGCCATTAACCTCCAGATTTTTTTATCTTGACCTATTCTTATCACTGGTTATACATTCAAGTTCATGGTAGTGTTTTTATGAAACGTGGAGAATAAAAACAGTGTTCATGATCACCCTTTCTTTGATATACTTCTGAAGTCACCTGACTACACACCCATGGATTTCTGGGCATTTGGTTTACTTAAGTATAGTCTTGGAAGCCAATGCTCATGTACATTGAAGTGTTTATCAACGTGTGTAGTTCTTTGTGTTGTTGTGGACATCATACCAAGCATGATTTAAAAAAAAAAAAGGAGTAATTCCAAGGACAGCACATAATGTAGAAGATCTTTCTTATAAAGTTCAGTTTAGTTAACCCATCATATGTAAATTGAAAAATATTTTTCAGCAATGTTTTAAAGTAAAACTTATTGTATTTTAACTAATTTTCTGCTATGGTTTCTTTTTATACTTACCAGTGATTATAAATTTTATTTAAAGATGTAGAAAATTTCCTATGTAAATTATGTGGTTTATATTTTTCATCGTAGGTTAGTATCAACTTTGGACCAAATTTTAAATATCCACCTAAAGATATGAAATACCAAGGGGTAAGATATTAAACATTTAAAACATAGATTTAGAAAAAGTCAGTATTTATGTACTTCCAACAAAGTATTAGTGGAGGTGATATGTATGTAATTATGATATGATTAGATAAGTCTGTATCCATAGATGATTGAAAACAACATCTTGGTAATCTTTAAATGTGTCACTTAGAGACAAATAAAGTTATCTTAGTGAACAATCCTTATGATGAAATTTGATTTAATATAACTGGTAAAGCTATAAACAGTCTAATCGTAGTTAAATATTATGGAAATCAAACTTTTTAAGCATTATTTAAAAAACAAAACAAGGTATTTTGAGATTCAGAATTTGTTGCTAACAGGAAACAAAATGTATGCAGTTTTATTTGTTTCTGTTTCATATTGTAAAAGTTGAAGTAATCAGACTTGATTGATATTCTTGTCATCTGATCCCAAGTGGTATAAATGAAAAATTTTGAAAGGTACAGATTTATGGAAGAAAAGTGAAAGACTGTTGTAAGCTATGTTTAATATTTTAATTTGGATGTTTATTTGCTAGAGAGAGCTAATCATAATAATTATGTAATATCTAGAAGCTTTCCTGCACTCATAGAAATACTAATATAAGTACCAGAGGTAGTATAGTGAGTGAATAACTGATTCAGTGTTAGTGAGTGAGAGTTACTGTATCTATTTATATGGGATTCAGTAAGCATGTTTGTTATAGATCAATTGATGAGAAATTCTGCATGTAAGTTTTTAAATAAATTAGACATATAATTAATCTTTGGAATTTCTGTAAAACGTTTTATTTGATGTTAGGCCTACAACAGTATCAATAAACATAGCCTGTAGCAAACATTACTGAAGAAATAAATTAATTTTTAATTATTACATGTACTGGACTTTGTACTATTTTTCCAAAAGAACCTACCCAGTGATAGAAAATGTTACAACAGTAGGTTTAAAAGCTACATTGATTTCTGGTCTATATCTAACAGTTATTTAATACATTTATTCTTGTGAAATTGAGATTTTAATTTTTTCAATGTTTGTTCAAGAAAATGTAACTCTTAACCCTCTAGATATGGGTAGGTCCAGGTGTGCATGTTACAACCTTTATATAGAGTTATATTTACAATTTAATTAAACTATTTACTACCAGTGTATGTTAATAAATTTGAAATTAAAATGTAGTTTATAAATTGAATTTTAATACCGTGTACGTTTTAATTTTTTACTTGCAAAAGAAAATATTTAAATATATTTTCAACCTTTACTTGTATGTATCACATGAGACTTCTTTGCACTGAATTGTACAATTTAGAATTTTTTTCCACTTTTATATTATTTTAACTTTCCAAGGATTTACCCACGTATACATTACATATCCCTGAATTAAATTGAAAACTTGTTGCTTCTATTTTTCCTGCTTTAATAAGTTATATGCCATAAACTGAAACTCGCATGCTGTGCCACTCCTAGCACGTGTTATCTTTAAAAAAATTTAAATAATTCTCTCTTTGATATTTGCTATTGGATTATTCATTACCAACAGAAAGAGAAGATTTTAATTTACTTCTTACTTTATGAAATTAGCTCATTTTTGTAATCGGTTTTGAGACATTCTGCATCAATTTTATAGTCTGCTATTGCAGAAATCACCTCAACCAGGTAAGAAAAATATTTTAATGCATGTATGGCTTAATTAGAAAACCAATTAAATTATAATAGTTTTAGGGCATTTTTTTTTGGTTGGGGGTTAATATGTTGCATTTTAAATTGCATATATAATTAAAATAAATAAAAATTAAGTAAAGTACTAACAACATCCCTACAAACAGGGTTAATTTTCATAGAGACTTAGAGAGCAAAAAATTACAAGACCTATACCCAAGTACCAAATGTATTTTTTTTAGTTATTGTTATAAAAGTAACTAAAATGGAAAAATTTGAAATTTATCAGGTTAGATAAGAAAAGTATTAAAAAATAATACTCAACAGCATGTCTCACAAGTTGAGCATGTGGTAATTTTACCAAGCCTGCTAGTAACTTGATGCAGTGTTTACACAGAACTTCCCTCTTGCGGTATTTTCTTTTGGCATAAGTTGCTGTAAAGCATTAAATGTGAAGACCAAGATATTTGAATTGTATTAGCTTTGGCTGTAATAATAAGCAATCATTCTAGAGAGAATGATGGGGGGGTAGATTAATTTCTACAAGATCAGTCAAATGGCCGAGCTTGTATACAGTGTTAGGGTAGAGAAAATGACAGAAAAAAATTATACTGAAAAAACTTTTCCTATTCATTCAGAATGTTCTAGAAGTTATGCAAATGAAATTGGAAAAACCTGTAATGAAAATAAGTATTGTTAATCTTAATATAAGAATCACCTTCCACTCAGACTAGTTGGACTCTGACTCCATAAGTTCACAGACAAATCTTTAGTAAATATACTTAATTTAGAAATCTGATTTTTTGTGCACAAAAGACTTGTAATGTTTATTAAAAGTCTGCCAAATATTGTTAAGGTGCTATAAGTTTTAATGTAGTAAATATATGTATAGTTACATGTTGTGAAAAGAGTAGTCAAAATAACCAAGCCTGTTAGGGAGAGTTAAAATGTGTATAAGTTTAAAGATTTGTCATGTGGAATATATGTTTATAATCTGGTGTTCAATGGCTGTATTTTAATCCTGTTGTAAATGATTTGTTAGGAAAGAAACAGTTTCAAAATAAAAATCACCAATGCAATGAATAACATTTATTTACATATATTTCTGACTGTACTTGATCCATTTTCAGCATGTTCTACAGAATAAAAAGTATAAGTATACAAGTACCCACACAACAATTTTTCTACTAACACAATAAGAAGTTGAAACATTAAGTGGGTAGGCTAAAAAGAAATTATGTGGACAGAACTAATCCTAGCAAGGCAGCACGAGTTAAAATACTTTTAGTTGTAAGGAGTTCAGGTTGTTAAACCTTTCCATGATTTGCCTAAGATAACTTGGGGGCTCTCCATGTTTTAAAAACCATTTGCCCAAATTAATTCAGATAGACCATTTCTTGCTTGAATATATTCACGTTATCATGTATTACAATCAGTGCTAGCTAGATGGTATTGGAAATGGTGTTTGTGCTGGCCTCTTATGAGATATATACTAAATTATGTTTCATAAACACTGGAGAAAAGCATTCCTAGTCTTTACTGTAATTTCATTTAAGTAATGTTTATCATGCTTAAATCCAGATATGTAACATTTATTTATTGAGTATAGTTTGTGCAGAAATATAACATCAGATCATAAAAGAACTTGTTTCATTAATATTAACTATAGGTTATCAAAAAGCAAAATAGAATTATTTTTTTAAATTAATTTCCAAAAAGATCCATACTCTTAACAACAACCCAAACACCCTACAACTAAAATTATTTTAACTTACCATACCTTGCAGCCTACTCGTTTTTTGTTAAATAAGTTTTAATATATATTTTCTTAAGTACACCTTTATTCTGTAAAACATGCTGAATATGAGTAAAGTATAGTTTGAAATGTTAATGAAAGTAAATGTTATTCATTGCATCAGTCCTCTTTATTTTTATAGTATTTAATCCTTCTGGTATATATTTTTACAGCTAATAGCAAAACATCATGTCACATTTTAATTATATTTCATGCTCTTATTACTATTTGGATGAACAGAAATTAAGCTTAGAAACACTATATATATATATACTGCACCTTCTCAAGTCTGTTGTTTACTATTAATCATTTACTTTTGTGTAAATAAGGAGTGTACAATTTCATTATGGAAGAAAAAATAAGACAAGTAAACATAAAGTGATCTGATGCCGAAAGCTTTTATTTTATAATTATTATGACATTAAAATATTAAATCTTACCTTACTAAAACAATTCTGAACTGTAATTTTATAGTAATGAGTCATTGAAAGTATTTTTTCTTTAGATGTATGAATCAGGCTTTAATGCCCCAGTGGAGTATGCCCTTTCTGATATACTTTACCTTGTGGAACACCAAGATGAACTGCGCTTAGAACATTTCCTTACGTGATCTTTTATTTGTTGTGAATAAATTTCATAATTTTTAGACACTTCATACTACTTTAAGAATATTCTATTTGTATGTTTTTCTATACTTCTTGACATCTTAGTTAACAATACAACCTTAGATGTATCAAATACAAAACTTAAATACTCTGGTTCATATAGATGATTTTATCATTAGAAATGTTTTAAAGACAAATATTTCATACTTGTGGCAAGATTATTTTAAAACTTCATGAAACATCATTTATCTGTTGTGCATTGCATTTAGTGTAATTTAAAGCCTTCAATATCATTGTAAATTGCATATTCAATTTTGCTTAAAATCAGTGTTTGATGTGGGACAAGAAATATAGTGGAATCTCTGTGGTCTATCAAGTTTATATAAAATTATGAAATTGTGTTGTTGTGGTTTAAAAAGTACATGTAGCAATGTATCCTGCTAAATTTTTACTCATGAAATGGGTTCACATGTGAAGAAACTGAAAACAATGGATTTCTTAGTCACCCATGAATATTCAAATGATATCATCACTTACAGAAAACCATAATAATAAAAAAAGACTGTTCCCCAAAATTTTCATTCCATACCACTAATAATTCAGCCCTTAGAATTTGACATCTTGACAACAGCAGGTCATAGATAATGACAAAATTGTGGAACTATCTGAATTATTAGTTATGTAAAAGTTGTTAACTTTACTGTAGATAGCTTCTCCCTGATAAACAATATATGACTAAGACTATAATGAATATTTATAAAATGTTTCTGTTCATTAATATTGCTTAAATGATACCCAATGACACAGAATACAAGTTTTTGTCATACCAGTCATGAGTGTATTCAAGATGTGTAATAAATAATTAATCTCCCAGTTTCATTGTAGTTCATTTAATTAGTATACATTTCTTCACCTCTGATTTTACACTATTTTACATTTAATTGCTTCAAAGTCAGTCCAAGAGATGTACCACAGGTATCACTGGAGCTTAATGCATCATTTGGTATTTCCATTCTCTTCTCACCAGGCTCTCTTTCAGTTAGGAAGTATTCTTTACTTAAGTTGTCTGGTGAGTCAGGCTTACAAGAATTTACAAGACTCTTTGGAGGTGTGATTTGGCTGTCTGTTTCCTCTTCTGTGTCTGTGTTAAAATCACTGAATGTTGCATAAATGAAGTCAAACAACCTCACCACCAACTGTCCTTTCTGCTGTTGCCTGGAGTAAAGTTTCAGCATGTTGATTAACTGTCCTGTTAAAATCCAGTTTGAATGTTAATGAGGATTAGCAAAATAAAAACTATGACATATTCAGTACAATTCTTCTATAATTATAGCTGTGTAATTACTAAAACACTAAAATACTCTGGAATTTCAAACCATTTTATTGTTAGTATTATGAAGTAATAAATTTTCGTTTTTAATCCACCATACAACCATATCATTAGACTTTATTGCTGTTAAATATTTTCTTTAAATTATCTATCTATATAAAGATGAAATGTGTGTTTGTTTGCACCCTAACTCCTCCTAGCCTATTGAGCCAATCTCAACCAAAATTTATATGTAAACACTATGAACTATGGGGAATATCCTAAGGGATCAAAATTGACCTTAACCCTATTTCTATTTTGTAAAGCCTGTTGTTTAATTACTCCCAGCCAATTGAGTCAATCTCAACATGTTGAATATTCTAAAGGTATTCAAGATCAAAGTATGAAAGTTGCTGGAATGCTTCTCAAACAGCCATGCTTTTCCTTATGGTCAATGAGATGTAGGGTGGGATCACCTCCAAATCTGTATTTGTTGTTTATGAAGAAGCTTTGTTATAATTTGAAATATATGATTACTGTTAAACTTGCATTGTTTGAATAAAGTTTAAACATTTCCTGTCAGTTTACAGGTATTTTAGCTTGTCTTGAATAATCCTGGACAGAATATTTAAG